TTCCAGACATTCACTCAGCCGCTGATCTCAATGGACTTGACCTCAGCCTTCTTCTCCTCAGCCTTGGGAATGGAAACAGTCAATACCCCATTCTCCATTGATGCCTTCACTTCATCAACTTTTGCATTCTCTGGTAACCAGAACCTCCTAAGGAATTTGCCACGACCTCTCTCCACACGATGCCACTTATCGTTCTTATCCTCCTTTTCAACACTTCTTTCTCCACTTATCTGAAGAACCCTTCCTTCTTCAATCTCAACTTTCACTTCCTCTTTCTTCAGCCCAGGAAGATCAGCCTTGAACACATGAGCTTCTGGGGTCTCCTTCCAATCAACTTGCACGCTAGCAAAACTTGATAACTCGTTAGTACTTGAACCAAATGGCGACCAGATGTCTGTGGAAATTGGGTTACTAAGCAATGATCTAATCAGAGACATTATGAAAGCTTTGTTTTTTGGTTAAGTGTCTGATACAAGGTAAGCAAGCGAGATCTAGCCAACTCTTTCTTTCCACTAGTTATGCATTTCAAAAAACGGAAGAATCATCTATATAGGGAGTGTTGTGGGGTCTTTTGAAGTTTCTGGGCACTTCTCTCTTTAATGATATGATTAGGTGTGGAAGTGCCATGCTTTATCTATAACCTTCCACCACCTTCTGTTTTTTCGTCCTTCGTGGCAATGGATTTTGAATCCTCTACCTTATTTTAAAAAATAAAAATAAAATAAAATTTATTCGTTTACGTTTCAATTTTCTTCTTAATTTAGTTTTTTTTATCAATTTTTTATTAAATTAATAATTTTTATTTCTAAATTTATCTTCTTTTAATTTTTAGTTGAGAAAAAAAACAAATTAATTAATTTTTTATATTTTAAAAATTAATTATTTAGTTTTTTACGTTTTAATTTCATTAATAATTTAATTTTTTAATCAATTTTTTTGTTATATTAATAATTTTTATTTTTAAATTATTTTTTCTATGATTTTTTAGTTGGGGAGAGAAAAAAAATAAGTAAATAAAAAAGAGAAATAAAATACAAAAGAAATGACAATTTGAATTTTTTTTTACTAATTTAAAAAAAAAGTGATGAAATAAATAAGATATTTACCGAATTGAATCCTTAAGAATTAAGTTATTAGTTTTTAAGTCGTTTCTCGGAATGAGAGTGATTGATTTATAATTTACTCGTAATTATAATTGTTTTTTTTTTTCCTTGGATACTTCCTCTGGGCTTTTGTGGATATGCCCATTTAGGTTATTGGATCAGAAGGGCTATGGCTTATAAATGATAATGCTGGAAGTTCTTAAAGAACCTGACCAGCTTGGTCATAAAAACATAATGGGCTTTTTTTGTTCTTTTGATTAACAAAATGGGCTTTCGTGTTTAATATATTAAGTTTGTGCTTTTCTTCTCTTTTAAGTTTTTTAGATTACTCGCAATAATAAAATTCCTTTCATTTTCGACTGTAGGAACAGCGGAATCACACATTATATTCTCTTTAGAAATTGCTCTTTACAAGTAGCCAAATTCTTATTACGACTCAAAAGGTAATTTTTTAAAATAAATAAATAAATAAATAAATATTCATTTCACAATAAATAAGTAATTATATATCATTAAGCAAGTTCATGTTTATAATTTTACAAATAGTGAGATATTCTCAAACTAATTTTTACATCAATGAAGATTAACTTTGTTATTTCTTGAGCTACACCAATTTCAAAACACTTTTGATCGATTATTAAACTATTTTTAGATCAAATTACCTCAAACTTGAACATAATTATTAAACAAATTCACTTATTTCACTATAAAACATTATCTTATATTTTCATAATTGTAATAATTATGTATAATTTGAGCACATAACAATTATAGTATTTTTTAAGTTCACAAGATAATAAGATATAGATGATCTATAATTATAATTACATAAGACTCAATCAAAAGTGGTCTAGTCTCAAGATGGATTGATTGAGGATATATACCCCTAACCATTAAAAAAAAGTTGTTATTCTGATAAGGATTAAACAATTATGCACAAAAGATAGTTGGCCCATGAGCACCATATATATATATATAATCAATCGGAATTTTATTCCAAATTCTTATATCCGGTGTCCATTTAATTCAAGAGTATTTATTATTCCATTTCCACACTTCCATAAAGATGATTCTGTCCAGAAAAATCATACACACGCCTCACGTGGACAAATGTTAACGACGATATTGCCCTCATTTTACAATATAAATACAGATTGCATGCATCTTGCCTTACCCAGCATCAGAGAGTTGCGAGTTCTTAGAAAAAAATTTACTTAGCTAGCTCCCAAAAATGTCCATAATTTATAAAAAAGTGTATAACCCTTATACTCCTTTCAATAATTTTGATGTCTGGGATCCCCACGGCCATGATGAACACCATTATGGATCCACTTTTGCTGCGCCCCAATATCCAGCTTTCTCCTACGAAGCAACAGCAGCACCCCTTGTTAGTGCTAAGATGGACTGGAAGGAGACTCCAGAGGCACACGTGTTCAAAGTTGATCTTCATGGGCTTAAAAAAGATGAAGTGAAGCTGGAATTAAAGGAAGGCAATGTGATTTGCATAAGTGGTGAGAAGATTATCGAGAAAGAACAGAGGGCTGATCATTGGTACCATTTGGAACGTAGTGGTGGCAAGTTTGCTCGAAGCTTCAGGTTGCCCGAGAACGCAAAGGCTAAGGACATGAAGGCTCGTATGGAAAATGGAGTGCTTACTATCACAGTTCCCAAGAAGGACATGCACAAGACCCCCAAAATCATCCATATTGGATGAAGATGAGACTTCGGTTGCATTTCTCAAAAAAGAAAACAAGAAAGAGCAGGCATTACTGATCAATATAAAGCATGTTATTATGAATAAAGGAGTGGCTTTCTCTCTATTGCTTACTATTTAGCAATGATGTAAAAAATAACATGAACTTAATATAAGAATTTGCCAGAAGTGTGTATTGGTCGTTTATAACTTTTTGAAATTGCAAAGATTTCATTACTATTAGTTAAAAGTTCTATCGGTGGCTTCGATTGCTATTAATTCTCTTTGATTCTTTGGATAACCAAATTACCTGCTTAATTTTTTTAAGGTTCGGACATTCAGGATACTAAATGTAAATAAATAAATAAATCTCTAAATTTAACGTAAAAACAAAATAAAGTAATTACTGAATTTTAAAATCATATATGAAATTCAACAATGGAGATCATCCAACCAAGTTTTCCTTTTCTTTCTGTCACAAAAATGATATTCTAATGGAAAAATTACATATAAGTTTATATTGAAAAAATAAATGATTAATATGTAAGTTTAATTTGTTAAATTAATAACGTTCATTTTTCAACTCTTTCTTTCAAATAAGTTTTTGCCTTATTATATTTTCGTTTAAAATCCTTACACTACATTTCAAAAAAAAAAAAAAAATTCCTTAGAAAAATATTACAGAACCAGTCATTATGTAAGTTTTTTTTTTTTTTACCTAAAACATTTTTTATAATTTTCTAAAAATTAAAGATTTATTGTCATACAATTCTTTTCTAGTTAATTGCTATAATTCTTAGAAAAGGTTTAATTAGGTTTATAATTTAAAAAAAAAATTTTTTTCAAATATGAAGATTTTTTTTTTTACTTTTACTATCATTATTTCATTGAACATAATCAAAATTTACAATTATGGTAATATAAGAAAACAATAGATTACAATCAGAAATTATATTACAAGTGAGAAAAATTAGACATTACACAAATTGTTTATTAATTCATTGGTAATATTTTAAATATATGAAGAGGATAATATAGGCAGCACAACTAAATATAAACTTAAAAAAGAAAAAAAAGAAACTTATTATCTTAAATTTAAAAGGTTACCATAAAACTTATTTATCATGAATCTTTTAAAACTGAATTTATATGTACTTTTCTCCATAGACCATCTTTTTTTTTCTTTCTTTTTTTTTCTTTTTTTTTTTTTTTTTTTTTTTTTTGTGGGTTGGGGGTGGTTCTATGGACAAAAGAAGTACAAAATTTTTTTTCCCGAAGAGAAGTAGTAAGATTATTTCTATAATCACAAGTAATTATTTGGTCCTACTTTCCTATAGAGATACAAAGAGAGAAATTTTTTTAAAAAAAATTGAAGTTAGGTGAAAACTTTTTTATTATTTTTGATGAGTCTAGATACAAATTCAGGTGAAAATTTTTTAAAATTTCTGGTATAATGATATTGCAGGAAGCATTATGAATCGTTCAAAATTATTTATCTTCAAATAATGAAACGCATTTCAAAGAAAATTTTCAATGGGAATGAGACTAATTAATTAATAACGCTAAGCAGTTCATTCTTTTGTCACATGGAACCATCCATGCTATATACAGCATCCAAGGTATACTTTATTAGTAATTTTATAATACTAGTAGCATATACGAGTAATTACTTTATGGATATATTTTGAAGAGAGAGATAGACACAAAAAAAGAGAACAAAAAGCAAAAGAGAGAAAATAAAAAAATTTAAACGGACGTGAAAATCTTCTTATCATTTTTTGTAGACATAGATGTAATTTCATTATATTTTTTTTGTATCTATCTCTCTCTCGAGATGTGCTCATGAAGTAATTACTATACATGCCACTGAGTTACTCCTTATGTATTATAAAATTTCTCTTTACTTTACGCCTTCCTCTTACTCATTTATTTTTGGCATCCATCTCGGAACGAATATCTGAAATAAAAGTAAGGAACCAGGCACCTGGCTTTCTTTAACTCAAAACAAACAGCTTTGGCATCCGTCTTGCTGAACAAAAAAGAAGAAAAATCTCTTTGCCAAATCTTTAATTGGCATCATTCTTTTTGCCGATGCCACGCCACTTATCTGTCTCTCCCGTTTTCTATTTCAAAGTCTTGAATAGTTCAGCCAACCCTAAACCCTAAACTATTCCCCCAAAAAAAAACTGGGAGATCCTGAGACGATGATGCCACGCCATGGCACCATCGTATCATCTTTACTGACATCAGCGTGGAACACCACAGGCTTCATGCATCCACACCGGAAAATGATGATGCACATGACCTTCTTTTGGGGCCATAAAACAGATGTTCTTTTCAAAGGTTGGCCTGGTTCGAGCTCTGGGATGTATGCTGTGGCCTTGACCTTTGTTTTTGCTCTTGCAGTACTTGTGGAGTGGTTCAACTTTTGCAGTGTCATCAAGCCAGGAACTCACAAGGTTGCTGCAGGCTTCTTTCGAACTGGAATGTATGCAGTGCGTTCTGGGCTGTCTTACATGGTGATGCTCGCTGTCATGTCGTTTAATGGAGGAGTCTTTCTTGCGGCGGTTGGTGGTCATGCTGTTGGCTTCGCGCTTTTTGGGAGTCGGGTTTTTAAGAAGTCTAGTGGTTCTGGATCTGGATCTGGGTCCAGAAAAGGGTCGGATCTTCCTCCTCCCAAATGTTGAATTGGTCCTTGAACGTTTTAGAGTTGACCGCTTAAGGTGCAAATTTGTGTGAATAATAAAGATATACTTCAACTTACGTGATTCAAAATTTTAATTATTTTTGCTTAATTTTATAATTATACTTTGTATGACATGTATGATTAAAAATGAAAATTTTAAAAAAAAATTCTTATTTAATTTAAGAAAATTAGTCTAGAATGTCTATAGGCCAATGAATATCTATGCCTTTATATTAAGGATACACGAGAAAAATTAATTTGAAAGATTCCGTTAGTTTATATTGTCATGTGTTCTACCACGCACAGGTATGCTTTCAATGTTAACTATCTTTTTGTATTTAATTAAAAAACAACATAAAAAACAAATTACAAACGACAATTAAGTTTTTGATTTAATAGAAGACAAAGCTCTAAAACAGAATCAGATGTTATAAAATAAAAAACGCAGCTCCGGAAATGTTCTCTAACAAGAGTCTTATATAACTAAGGAAAGCATCAAAAAAATAAAAGATTTCTAGGAGAAGGGAATAACCATAAGAGGCAAACGAGATTGTTTTTAATTGCGTAGACTAATTAATCTCAAAACGTATTAGATGTCGTCTTTCAATTGATCTGATTTAGGATTGGTAATGGACAATCAAACATCTCCATCGAACAACAACGTCCGCAAAAGGAGATTATAGGCTGAATATTATCTCTCCAAGTTCAATTCGGCTTAGGAATAACGACAACAACTTAATTCCATCCACGCATATATCATATATTAATTAAATTATAATGTAATTAAGAACTAAATACATTTTGGCTAAGTATTGTTGAACACAAATTGAAATCTGCATTGTTATTGATTTTAGTGTCACCAACATAACATTAGTTGAGTCAAACCCTTCTTGAACGAAATTAATATTTCACCAATCAATATATAATTAAGTAGTAAATTAAGATCACGTAAAAAAAAAAAAAAAATCAAATTTAAGAAGTATTTTTAAGTGCTGATTATGAAATGATGATGCTATATAAAACATAATTATACATTGATGTAATTTTCATTGACAAAATAAAATGAAGTCATTCATAATTTAAGTTAAGTTGAATGGATTAAACCTCTTCTGAATTTTAATACATTTAAAAATTAGTGTCTGAATTTCTAATTTCAGGTTTGACCTCTCATGACCTTTGTTTTTTTTTTTTTTTTTTTTAGATTTAGTCCATGTTGTAGTTTTTTATCAAAAATAATAATAACATAAATAGTCCTATGATGAAAATCATTAAATAAGATTTATATAGTGCTTCTAAAAAAACTTGAGATTATTCCCAATTTTATATATATATATATGATATTAAGAAAATAAAACAATATACTTTCTGATCTAAAAAAATTCTGAGATTTTTTCAAAAAAAAATGTATTAGATGTTGCTCAAAGTGTGCACAAAATGTTTAGAGAGGAGTGGTAGCTATAGATGGACTAAATTTAAAGTTCGAAAAAAGTTAAATTGAAAATTAGACGTAATGATTTTCAAATAACCTAAAGTTTATTAGAGATTTAACTTATTTACTCTTCTAAGTTGAGGTGGCAAGCAAGTAAAGTAAGAATAAGGTCCCTCAAAAAACGAAATTCAGAAAATAAAAAATGGAAGGTAAAAGCTGGTCTTGCGACCGGCTCGTCGTCCTAATCACCTTTTAACTTCTAGTTTTTGTACTTTTTTCGACCTCTCTTGTTTAAATTAGATACACCCAAGAAAATAAATGATCATCACAAAATTAATCAACTCTTGCCAACCTTGAACCTTAGCCAGTCTCTCTCTCTCTCAAAAAAAAATGTCTGAGAGTCTTGATCATGGTAGCATGACTCCTGGATCAATGTCTGATGGTAGCATGAATATGAGCCCATCACACATGATGATGCATATGAGTTTCTACTGGGGCAAAGATGCTACAATCCTATTCTCTGGATGGCCAAATGGCAGCCTTAGCATGTACGTGGTGGCTTTCTTCTGTGTTTTATTGTTGGCTGCTGCTATCGAGATCTTTTCAGTCTCCCCAACAGCTAAAATAGGCACTGATATTCCCTTGGGGGGTGCGTTTATTCAAGCTAGTGTTTATGCTGTTCGCATGGGTTTCGCTTACATGGTCATGCTTGCTGTCATGTCTTTCAATCTTGGAATATTTATAGCAGCCGTGGCTGGTCACACCATCGGGTTCTTTCTAGTCAAGGCCCGTGCTCTTCCTATTGCCAACCGATCAGCCAACCAAAATGAAATCCCTCCTAAAGTTTGATGATTCAAGATTCATTTTCCATTCATTTCAATGCCCATGTTTTTTTTTTTTTTTTTTGCCATTTCTTTTCTGTTTCTTCTTTGTCTGCCATGTTTGATTGAGCATCTTTACGTCTGTGCTTTTTTTCTTCGCCTTTTTTTGTGGTTCAAGTTAATAAATTGATATATAATGTAAAATTAAATTAATAATGATCCCATGATATTCCTGAGAATTGGATAATAAAAAAGACTAATGCTTAACTATATAACCATATAAGTATATGCAATATTGCTAGTCGTAGTTTGTAAAATAATTGTTAAATTTCATATTACCTTCAATATATTTTCTTTAACAAGAAAGAACGTGAAATTTTCTCCAATATAGAATTTTTCATACATGGATGGGCTATTTTCATTCATTTAGTAAATTTTAAATCTTGCACTGCTCGTGAATTAGCTATAAGTTTGTTAATATTGCCACCAAAGAGAGGAATTGCATGGGGTTGGAAGAATTGTCTGCGCCTGGTTCACAATTTTTAAGGGGAAATGGCTTAGCCTAATTTTATATATTAGGGTAAGGATGTGTTTGATAATCTCTTTAACTAACTTAAAAAATTAAGTTGTAATACTTAATATAAAAAGTTTGTTTGACAATTTAAATAATCTTATATTTAAAATTTAAAGTTAATCAAAATCTACTTAATTAGGTGAGTTAAAGTTTTTAACTTAAAATTTTTTTATTAACATGTTCAGTTGAAAAGATTTTTAAAAAATTTTAAATATGACTATATAGTAATCATATATTCTCATAATGTTCGCTATACAAATCAATTAAAAAACGATTTTTATTATTCCTAGAAGAATAAAAAAGGTCGAAAGTTGAAACTAAAACGGATGATAAACTTTTTTAATGGCAGATCATTACACCTTGATCTCCTTCCCTCGGACTCTTTTCTCTCTCTTATCATAGCCACAAGATCTTCCTTGTTTATAGAATTTTTTTGTATTGCTAAACCTTTGCCCTTCATCTACTGTACTTTCATTCCCCTCCAATATTAGGATATAAAAGCTAAGGGTTCAAAAACTTTTAGAGATGCAGCCTTCTAGGAGGGATGATAATTGTTGATGGATCTGGTATAGTGTCTTTTGGCCCAAGATTATCGATGGGTGGGCACTGCTTATGGTGATCAATGATTGATTGGTAAGCCGTTGCTAATGCTAGAGCCTTCGCATGCGAAAACAGAAAACAAATGATTGATTGGTCCATGAGCAAGAGTTCAAATCTTTACAACACTAACTTATAATGATGCAACTTTCGATCACCAAAAAGCTGTGAAAGTGCAAAATAATCAAGAAGCTTACAATGTGATCATGGTTAGAATGAGCGTACATACCAGTGGTGATGGTGGTTCATCTTCGAGTACCTTCTGAAGGTGGATTGGATATATTTTTAAAGCCAATTTCAACAACTATTACTGAGAGACTAATAACATTTCCCAAGCAAACTTTCTCCCAATCAGTTGCATTGCCAATGAATGCATCGATAGTTAAACTTTCTTTCACTTCTCGAATTAATTTTCCTCGAGCCCTTTGTGCCTATGGAAAAGATCATTTAAATCAGAAGACAAGGCATATATCTCAAAACATGTAATAGGTCAAATTTTGCAAAGTTCTCATCATTGCTAATAAGGATCGCATTGGCCAATGCTACAACTTCTAATGCATTGCAGAACTTAGCAAAGGCCCATGGAAGGACTGCATGACAGCCATTCGATTTTTCATGCAATGGACCAACCTTTTATATATATATAAGCTCATTGTATGAGGGCAGACTGTCTGACTGACTGAATCAGGTATTGTATTGTCCTGTATGAGTATTAAGTAAGCTAATTTATCGTCAACTTCTTCACGCATTTCAGGTTATACATTTAACTCTTTATTTCTAATTTTATTGGGTTGTGTATTTTAAAATTAACTAATTTATTTATTTATTTATAGGATGTTTTAGGTGGTCTTGATGAGACTTTGATTCGTGCTGTTATATCACTTGACCAACAAATCTTGTATAGAGAGAGGATGAAGAGATATCTATCAAACACATCTATGTATATATTTTTATTTGTGTTAAAAAAAAAAAACATCATTTTCTAATTGAAAGGTTAAAATTATCATATATATAACTTTAATATGTTCAATAACGAGTACATATCAAACAACCTTATTATATTCAGCATTTAATTTTCGATAAATATCAAACGAACTTGTCAATAACATATTCATTACTTAATAATTCAATTCTTAAAATTCAATACTTAACAAATTCAATACTTAATTTTTTTTGTTTTATCAAAACACCACTTAAGTGTCTAATTTTATATATAAGAGTAAGTATTTTATCCGTTAGTCTAAAATAAGCTAATTATGTTATTGTATTGTAAGGGAATTTTCAGTCAGTTTTTCTAATGATATTTTTTGACAAAACCACAAGAAATACCACATGATGAAATTTATTTTGAAAATACTCCTCATAATTTCTGCCATTCTAGCTGAAATCCAGCTAAGGACAAACACCAAGCTATCTTTTTCTTCTTTCTATTCATTGATCCTTTCTTCCTCACCTTCCCTTTTTCTCCAAAACTCATGTCCAAATCACCCCAAAACATTCAATCTTGTTATTTTTTCAGCCACCCCAAAACCTTCATTTTTCCGATCAAAACCGCCATATTCACCTAGAATCAAGTCCTATCCACACCACTAGATCTTAAAATTGATCTTTTCCACTGGCTATCGTCAAGCCCTCTACTTTCCTTTATGTTTTATCTATTTTCTAGTCACCCACAGCCTTAAATACTCTTTAATCATTAAAATCAAGTCTAACACTACAAATTGGTAACTTTTTATCCCCAAAAATAGTTTTATACTTGTCCTTCATTGCCAAGGTTGGAGTGAGGGTGGTGATAGTTAGTGACTTGCACGTGCTCATTCAGTTAAGTGGCTTTTTCGATACAAAATTAACGATGTGCAAATATATATATATATATATATATGCTATGATAGATTGAAAACTCATTTAATATAAAAAATTTAATTAGCTGATTTTTTGGATATAAACATTGGACATTTATCCAATTATATAAGTACATGTAAGTCAGTTTTTACAAATTTTATTTTTAACAATAGATTCCGCTCTGCCAAGGTTTGAGCTGATTGCAAAATGTATCTTTAAAGTCCACACTCCATGATGGAGCAACGTTGAATTTTAAAGTCAAGACTAGTGTAATTTTTTCAAATGAGGAGTACGATAATTTTCTAAAAATTTAGGATAGGAGATTTTTTTTTTTTTGGTCATTCTATTCAAATTGGTTAATTTAATAATAATAAATAAATAAATATAGCTTCTAAGAATAATAGTTTAAACAAATAATATTTCATTATCAATGAAAACTAAAAATATATTAAGCTATAAAAATTTTAAAAAAAAAACATTGACATCACTTTGTTTTCAATTCACATTTATTAATTAATTATGAAATTTGTTATTAAATTATTTAGCTAATCATGGTTTAATGATACTAGAGATTCCTGTGTTGTTGATTTTTGACAAAAACATCTTCGTAGTTTCAATTTAGACAATTGAATCCTCATGTTTTGGTCTGTTGAGCAGTAGAGATCCCTTCATCTATAATCAACCCAATTTTCTATTTACCCATAGGGACATCTAGCGTCATTAACTAGCTAATCATGATTAGTATTGTAAAAAGAAAACTTAACCTTCATTTTTTTTTTCATTCAAATTTAATTATTGCTATCAATTATTATCTCAACTTTAACTAAAGTACTTTGCAATAAAATAGGTAATTTTTATAATGGAGGTATTGAAAATGAATTTCCAATCATTGGCATCCATTGACTGCAGCTGATGAAAATAATTCCAAACAACTAGTGGTTTTTAACTCGTTGGGACTGCTTAATCATAGAAGTTTAGAAAATGGATCAATACGAAACATAAGTCCGAATCATAATTTCTGTGGCTAAATACTTTACAAATGAAGTTAAAATGACAGAAGTCCATTTTATTTCCTAGTTGCCATCTCAATACCCACACGGGAGTTATGACCTTGTAAATGCTAAACACAAAACATCGAAGAAAGGTGGAATTCCAAACCCTTGGAACCAGCCGAATTAACACCGTTGGTACAGATACTCCAAACCTTCCAAGGGCTATCTAATCAGCTGTCCAAGTTCAAACACTAGCGTCTACCAATCCGACATTTCAACACTCTGCTCCATACAAATATCTGTGTATGCTATATGATTTTCAAATTGGGTATAAGAAAAAAAGCTTCCAGGGCTACCAAAAGTCTTCCCATGACCAAAAAATCGGGAGCTCGAAAATTGGTAGTTTCTTTTTCAATCAAAGTTCTATATAAATGACAGCCAGCACGAGCACAAGGCAACGAATTGCTCTGACTGGCAAGTTGCGAACAAATGTACCGTTACATGGCTGAGACCAAATGTAATTATTCTATGACGTCCACTTTAAGCTTCAGGTCATACACCCATTAGGAAAATTATGTCCGTCTTGCCATGGATACATATCATCATAAAAAGGTTAAAAGGGTAAACTAAAAATTTATTTTCTTTGCCAGAGCATGGTGAGAATAGTATGTTGAATCCTCTTTAATACGTTGTCTCCTCTCCTAGTCAGATTTTTTCCAGCCAGCTGATACAAATAATGCTGATTCGGCCAACCCTAAATCTTTGTCACAATATCGTACATCTTTGAAGCCCAAGAGCTGAAAACAATCTTCTACCAGTTGGCCACAAGAGGGAGAACCATCCTTCTCTTGGTGCAACGGCCACATCTTCAACATCCTCTTCGTCAGAACCATCTGAATCCTCCTCATCACCATTCTTCTGATTTTCACTTGTACTGTGCTCTTCTGCTCTGCTGTCAGTTCCAGCTTCCGCAATTTCCCCTGGCTTCTTGTCAAATAGCCCTTTAAATTGTCTCCGCGCCTTGTTCTCCACATCCTGCTAGTCAAAAGGTGGACATACAGCAAGATTTAAAGTGTGCATCTCCCTCTCAAATTGCAAATAGAATATGGTTGCAGATTAACCCACCTGCTGCTTCTGCTTCAGTTTTTTAAGAGCTGCTGTAGCATCAGGTTCAGATGACTTGTCGGCTTTCATCATCTAACATTCACAAGCAGATTCAGATAATGGATGTCAAAGAATTTAAAAATCAACTACATGTGTTACCATTTCAAAATCATTCCTTGCTTCCTCAAAATCTCCAACTTCAATGTAGGCCATTCCACGGCGATAGAGAGCCTTCACATGTGCTGGATTTGTTTCCAGAACCTGCAGAGTTTATCAGAAATGAACATCAACATCCAGACTCTGAACGATGGCAATGGCCATCAAAGTGCTTGTCCTAGAAACCTATGCCGGTTAATCTTAGACAAGGACATCACATATCTTCCTATGGCATGCTCTCTACTGGTAGCTGATGGCCACTTCGATTCTCAACCCTTAACGAGTCATAAGCAATTAGTGAGGGGCTAGGAGCTGACCAGCTGCTTTCTGCACAAAGCGTGCTGCCATAGGGAGTTTGGACCTTGTCATGTTATACAAGAGCTTGATATCTAGTGTATTGCCAGTTGTTCTTCACATGAAATTCCTTATCACAAAGACTTACAAAACCCTGAATAAAACATAAACTATTTAAATAAAAAACATACCTTATTGCATGTCTCAATGGACTTTTTGCATTCTCCTAATTTGAGGTAGCATGCAGCAACATTGAGATTTAACAAATTCTACAAACATCCAAGAAAGAAAATGAAAACATCAAGTGATGGATGGGAAAAATATATTTGATAGTAATTCCTTTCATACACTGCAAGGGGTAAAAAACTTACTCTGGCATTGAGGAAAACTTTCCCTTCCTCGTCATCTTGTGGATTAACATGATTAAATTCTCGAAGCACCTGTTGAACAGTTTCTGCATGGTATTATATGAGGACTTGAAAGGTTCATAAATACAACTCAAGACATTTAAAAGCACCAAAACTTAGAAGAAATACAAATGAAAGGTTTCTATCTTAAGCTGCTAATTTTGAATATAAATAGTAAAAGCTTAATAAATAATATTAACACCAAATTGCAGGACATGGCACTTCCATCAATTAGCAAGTTAGCATAAAAGAAGACATTCATCCTTAATATATATTTCACTTCAATGACAAATTGAGAAACAAACTTGATTTCATATACATCACCAACTGGGAAATGTGATTGATGGCTATCCCAAACTTATCGCAACTTGATTTGAAAATACTGATTACAGCATGGCAATGACAGCAAATGGCTTGATGCAATGTGGTGGAAATAAATCCAACTTCACCTTTGATAAAAGATGAGAACCCAAGAAGTCGAACAAAAATGTTAATGCTCAAGATGTAAGATAAATGTAGTGAGGAGAGAGCATATTACCTTCTCATATTTTGCCTTAGCAAGTTCAAACTTTCCTTCTTTGAAAAGCCTGTTTCCCTGAAGATCAAAGAGATCATCAGAGTTTTGAGATCATAATATAAAAATTTAAGCCCCAAACAACCAATTTATATAATTGAAACAACTTGCTATAATTGGAACACATCTAAACAGCCAAAGCTTAATTAACAAATAACCAAAAAAAAAAAAAAAAACTAAGCACAATTAACAAGTATGAATGAGCACATACTGTGTTTCTGATCTTCTCTGCTTCATCCATTATACTCTGAAAGTCCAAACCGGTCCAATCCTGAAATAAAGATCCATGAATAAAAAGGAGAAAAGGTCATAATCCTTGGAGATGAATTCCAAATAAGCATCTTCAGTGACTTAAAGGTCAATCAACTGGCACAGATCCACTCATAGTAGTTCCCATTATTATTTTAAGTTCACCTCAATCAAATACTGAATACAAAAATCACTATAGAGCCAAAAGGTGACTTTAGCAGCAAGCCACCGATAAAGTAGTTCGCAAACTTGATAAAGAGACAGCAGTAGATCTTTAAAAAAGTTCATCAAGCAGCATTTCAATTTAACTTCTAAGAGACATCAGTCAGTTACCTTTGGCATCTCAAAACCAAGAAGCTCAATTTCCCATTCAATATGAGCACCTTCAGGAACATTAGCTGGCCTAATTATATAGGGGAAAAAAACTTGGTCAGAAAGAAGATGAAGTAATGATGATGACAATAACAATAAAAAAAAGTGCCTCTAATTTATGCATTATTTGTGGCATGCTAAGTCTCAAAAAGCAACCTTGGAAACTTGTCATATGCGAAGTCAGGAGGGCAATTAACAAGAGCTACCTCTCCAGGAAGCATTAAACGAACACACATTTCAAAACCTTCAGGCACCTACAAAACAAAATTCACTCATTTTTTATTCCCCTACAAAACCAATTCATAAAACTTATTTCTTCCTTTACACGAGAGAACTCACAAGCCCTTCTCCAGAGCCGAACTCTAAAGGCTGACCATCATTATCAATTCTTGTATCAATAAAGACCGTCTTTTCTTCATTAAGCAGCATGCCCTTGTAATGAACGCGTAGTAGGCTGTCATGAAGAGGGCAATCCATAGGAAACTCACCTAATTTTTCAGAGCAATTAAGAAATCCATATTGTAGCATGCATGATTTGAAAATTGCAGAGCCAAGAGGTTAAATAAATGGATAGAAACTTGCAAAAGAAGAATTGAATGACATATCATTAGTTATGTTAGTTTAATAGATGGAAGGGATGAATAAAAACTTTGATGAAAGTTCAGAGGCGTAATTGATACAAACGAAATCTCAGGAGAGAAATTGAGAAACCACCCAAACCTCAAGGAGACAAATTAAAATTTACCCTATATGATTCTCTCACAAAATCCACATTTGTTTATACATTCCAGAAGGATATCAGAAAATAAGTGCAGAGGAAAAAATAGAATCAAGCAACACAAAAATACGGATGCATGCACCTATAAATCTCTAGCAATTTTTAAACATATTCTGAACCCACACCTTTTCCATCATGAAGCCGACGCTTTATCAGGCGCCCATCTCCAAGCATGTCCCGCACCTGTCAACATTAAGTTAGAGAGTTCGAGAAAGAGTGTGTGTGTGTGTGTGTGTGTGTGTGTGTGTGTGTGTGTGTGTGTGTGTGTGTGTGTGTGTGGCTAACTAAATTAGCATTACAATTATTATCTGGTGCAATCATAAAAAAATCCCCATCAATCAAGAAACCTCTATTTTTAAAGTGTTACTTTATTACTTGCATTGCTCTTTGGATCTAGTTTCCTATTTCAGAGTTTTTCATTTTTGATAGAAGATTTTCTCTGTGTATGTTCCGTATGCAACAAAGATTACAGTTAAACTCTCCAAATAAAAAGTAGAACTAGGTTGCTTTTGTGGCAAAAAAAAAAAAACTCTTGTGACAGAGAGAAAACTAGAGACATAATATGGTGGGAATTTGTACTTCTGTGGAGGGAATGCGTGTAATAGAAGTTTTGGGCTTGTTATCAGGCAGTTTCCAGGAGGTTTTTTCCTTTAAAGGACAAATGCTACAAATGCTCCATGCGTTCTCTCGATTTTGTGGATTAGGCAAATGTTAAGCGCCTTAAATTTTGTGTACTCTATTCTAATATTTTTATGGATTTGTGAGACCATAAAGTAATATTTAAAGATGGCAGCAGAACCGTTAGCACACAAATGGAATGACAATTATGATTTGCAATGAGGAAATGATGCCGAATGAGAAAGCAACTGAAAAGAAAAATAGAAAAGAAAGAAAACCTAAAGAAATATTGCAATGCTCAATAATAAATCATCAAAAAGGCTCTCTTAATTACAGATGAGTAATAAGGGCTCTTGTATGGACACTGAAAACCAAAAATATCTTGAACGATCAGAAATAGGAATTCCTGAACAGTAAACATCAATTGAATTACTAGATAGAAAATACAGTAAATTCCTACTCACTAGTACTTTAGTAGGAAATAAACAAAAATCCTACAAAATAAAATTCCTAATAACTAAAAATTATAAATAATCAAAACAATAATGCTCAAATAAATGATTTGCTCTCCAGTAAGGGATTTTCATACCTGAGTGAAATGGACAAGCTCCACTTCAAACTGAACTTCCTCAAAACCTTCTGCTACAGACATGAGCAGAGATTCAGTCAAGTACTGATTAGTAACATATATTACTGCCTTTTCTTCTCGTGTCATAGTTCCAAGTCCCATCTCAAGACCTTTTGGTACCTAATTTAGTCAGAAACAATCTTAAATACCATTTGTCTTCCAAAAATTCTTTTAAAAAATGGACAAAACTTTTCTTCATTCAATAGATTTAGATTATTGAGCTCAAGAAATCGGCATGTTGTTCTAGGAAATGAGAACTGCAGCAGAAAGATGTGAAAGAAGATGTGAAACTGATCATCCATATTGCCACTGAAGATGACAATCCTATGCAGGAACTTACTAGACATGAAAAAAACACGAATATCAAAGAAAAACACAACATATTCCAGTCCTGCAGAGTGCATCACCAACCTCAGATTTTCCAAAAGTAAAGAAATAAGGTTCTCCTTGTTTGTGCAATGGAATTACTTTTCCATCTCCTGTCTTTGCAGAAATCCTGAAAGTATAGCATGTTTCTCATAAGAACTTCAAACGTTTCATCTAATAGTCCAGCATAAACCCAAAGAATAAGAAAAGGGATTTTTGAACAAGTTTCTACCAAGCTTTTACTTCATATGGTTCTCTTGGCGATTCCCAACCCTGCCCTTCATCTATTACCTATCCATGTAAGTTGTCAATTACCTATGAAATAATTTTTAAATCTGAAAATAAAAATATAGCAGAAAAATACCAACAGTAAAATTTGCATCACTATACATTTAATAAATACCGGCCCCATAAGCATCTTCCTATTCTCACACAAGTCTGAGACGCACAATTGTTTCAATGCCATCATTTTTCTCCAAAATGTTACCAGATTTTAAAAGTTGTTTGTCATCACCATATAGCATATCAACATTCACTTTTACATTTGTTGGGTATGAGAAGGTGTAGGGAGTGAGGGACATTTACAACTATTCTCATTATACAGTAAAGAGAAACTACTTGACCAAATTCAATACTTAGTATTCGCATGGTGCTCTAATACATATAACAAAGGTATCACTTAACAATCTCCCAAGAATGTAGTCCTATAACACGGAGACTTTTTAAAATGAAAGCAAATGACAGTAAAATGTCTTGGAATATTCCCTCTAAGCAAAGATAAGGACCCAAACTATCGTTCATGTTTGCAGTCAACAGATAGCATGATACGTATAGTTTATCAAATTTTCAATTATCTAAAAATACTTCACCAGATGCACATACAATTATGGACTTCCCCATAAATCTTACGCAACCTCCACCAAATGTATCTCAAGCAACAATTAAGTATATTTCAATACCTTCTTTATAACTCCTAAATCCTCGCTGACAACCTGGAAACCCACACAAATACAATTCAAGATTTGAATTAAGGATTGATCAAATGAGATAAAATTTAATGAGTCTTGCTCCTTTATACTAAAACTTCAAAATATTTTCGGAAAAAAGAGTCTTGCTCCTTTAAACTAGAAAAGGTATATTGGTGTGCTCCCTTCTTTCAGCATCTATAATCAGTAATTGCTTAACTTTAAAAGATATGGTGAATAAATTCGTAAAACCATAGTTTAAGAATCACAAAACACCAAGGATCTTGGACTGCATTTCAATTAACATTAACACATGGCATCATGAAAAATCATATAGAAATAATATAACCAGAAAATAATCATGAGAATAAAATATTCAGTGATGTCAAATTGTTACAAAATAAAAGGATATGCATTTAAAAAAAAAAAAAAAAAAAAAAGGCCTTGCCTTGACTTTCGAAAATTCTATCATCTCAATCTCAAAGTGAAGTTCATCGTCCTTTGGAAAGCTACTTGGAGGTGAAAGTGGACAATCAGCCTCGCAATAATGCATTTGAGGTTTCATCTTGAACTGAAACAGGAGATATGACCAGTTTTTGAAGTAAGAAAACATGAACATTCAGCATAGTTAAACAATGGTTTAAAACGATTCAATATTCTATATCCCAAGCTTTTGGACAAACATAAAACTAAAAAAGAAATAGATTAAAAAAACTGAAAGGAATTAGACAATAAAATAAATGACTTCTCTTATTTATTGATGAAGCATGTCTGCTTTATTTTACTTCTTGTTGTGCTTTAATTTTCTTTTCTCCTCTGTTCTTTTTTTCTTCTTTCGTTCTCAGACATGTGCTTATAAGGGAAAAAGAAACTCAAAGTGTGAGCAGGCACACACACACACACACAAGGTCGTATGGAAAATGCAGAGGCCCCATACCATTGCAACTTCACCCTTCAACATTGTAGGAAGCCCTTCAATCAATCCTAATAACATCTTGCTTTTTCCCAAAACTTGTCGTATTGGAGTACCCTTGCCTGCGAATCAAATGAAACATCCACTTTAATCCAATGACTCAATAACTAAAACGCAATCAATTCACTATATAAATTATATTACTCAAGCCCTAATTGTCAAATTAAGTCGCTCTAACATTGTAAATAAAAATCAAGAAAATAAAACTCCTCTAATACTTCAACATATATACATATCAATCAATCCATAACCTCACCTCCATATTCCAACCTTGTAGACTCGACGACAAATCCAGCCAATGTCCTAACAGTGCAATGATACACGACCTGCAAAATTATTAAAAAAAAACAACCTAGTCATTAAAATTCAGCAATTAAACCGGCCAATGCCCTACGCGATTACACACAAACTCGAAGCAGGATTAAAACAGGAAAGAAAGAAAGTAACCTGATCACCATCTGATGGTCTAGCATCACCACCTCCTGGTCTCATTTCAGCTTTCATTAAACTTCCCGGCACGATTTTCTTTCTCCTGATTGCCAAAATTAACTTAACTCATTAATTATTAACCACGCACAAAAGAAGAAGGAAAAATTACCTCTTCTCGGTCTCAGTAGGCTCTTTCTTCTGCTTAGGTGGAGCATATTCTTGCGCCGTATCTTCCTCTGCAGTCATGTCTGATCACCGACTTCGAAGAATCGAAGCTAAGCAATGGAAAAATAGCAGACTAATCAAACCCTACTAGAACTTGCAGGGGTAAACGAACCGAATCGCAGCCACTTAGCAACAAATAGAGGCTAGATTCGTGAATCGAAATGGTAATTACCTGCTTCTTTTTTTCGAGGGAGAGCAGAAGAATCTGTGACTAATTGACTGCAGGTCGTTATTTTCGAAGGCGAGGAAAGGAGGAGTTCGAAAATAGTGTGAGCGTTTAATTAATTTTTGGGTAAATTTCATTTTCACCTCTGTAGATTCACCAATATTACATTTCAATCCTTACCTTTTGAAGTTTCCTAATGTTTACTTTATAATTTTTCAATTTTATCCTTAACTACTAAATAAGAAACAAAAAAAAAGCATTTTTTCACATCTTTCTTTTATTTTTATTTTTTAATATCTCTCTCATTTGTTGCTCTCAGATGCCCATAGTATCGTATGCTTTAGGATATCTCGCGATGAAAAACCTCAAAGAACTATAAAAAAATAAATAATAAAATCGAAAACATATGCTATTCGATTGTTAAAAAATTTAGAACATTTCGAAAATGACAAAGGTAAAATTAGAAAATTAATATACTCTTGAGACGTAGACAAAAAATATTTTTCATAAATAAGCTATGAAAAAAATTAGTCAGATTAAAAGTATGTTTGGTAAGAATTACCTCGATTATTATTATTATTATTATTATTATTTATGAAGGAAGGTAGTATAGGTTAGGATCAACAAATAAAAAGTTTAGAATTTTGAATCGATTTTGTAACAACTTTTTTAATTAGAGTCAAAGATTGTTTTTGACCAAGCTTATTTATGAATTTCTTTTGAATCAAAAGTTTTTAAAAAAAATAAATGGATTTGCAAAAATCATAACAAACGGAATCAAGTTTTTAATTACAATAATAATAGAACTGTTATAAAAGAAATAGAAATAATAGGAGAATTAAAGAGAAAAATGATGAAAAAATGATTTTACTATAAAAAGAATATAAGAGATAACAAATTTAAACAATTCTCACATGCCTCGTTAAAACCTTACTAGGAAAAAACCCGAGTGGGAAAAAATCCTAGTGAAGAAAAAAGAATACAATATTCCTTGTACACATTAATCTCGATATTGGCCTCCTCTTGTTGAAAACATCATTTGAGATCTCTAAGATGATATATTTCAATCTTGTAAATCATCTTCTCAAAATTTGTAGTAGGTAATGCTTTAGCAAATAAACATGTTGGATTATCACTTTGATGTATTTTTCCTTCAATGGAATTATGCAAGCAACATTATCTTCATATGATATTGTTGGAACTTCTTTTGCTGATATATAAACCGCACGTCTCTCAAATATGATGGATCATTGATCTTAGCCAAATACATTCTCGACTTGCCTCATGAATTGATATTTATGCATGATTTAAAGATGCGGCGACTATAGTTTGCTTCATATAATGTCAAAATATAGTTATATCTCCATATATAAATATATAATCGGTCGTTATCGAGTTTTGTGTGGATCGGATAGATAATCCGCATCCGCATAACCAATTAATCTTATTTTTTATTTATTATAGTAATATAAGCCCATATCAATTATTCCTCGAAGATAACGTGGTATATGTTTAACTTTATTTTAATTTCTCCATATTGAATCAAAACTATGACTTGCTAATAAATTTATAGAAAAGACTATATTATGTCGAGTATTATGAGCAAGATATATCAATGCACTAGTGGCATTAAGATACGGTACTTCGAGACCAAATAGTTTTTCGTTATCTTCTCGAGGTCGAAAATGGTCTTTTTAGATATCAAGTGAATGAACTACCATTAGGCTGGTCAATAAATGATCTTTATTTAGAATCATTATAAAACCTTTTTCTATACAATTTGACTGATGAATAAAAGTCTAATTCTCTAAGTGCTCGAACTGCAGGTTGAGATAACATTTTTTTCCCAAGGTATTCATATCAAATTCTCTTTTTAGATAACTTATGACACTTGAAATCTCTTCGGGAGTTCCAATAATATTTAAGTCATCAATATATACAATAAACCCTTTTTTCAAATAAAAATATATAAACAAATAGGGTTATTTTTTTTATAACTTTCTTTTAATAAATAATCATTGAAGTGATTATATCACATACACACGGGTAAGTAATAAACAATAGATATAAAAATAAAATATAAAAAATATAGTATAACTTGAATTTCTAAAAACTAAAATAATAAGAAAAATACTAAAATAATCATAATAGAGATCTCCATAATTTAATTTAATTTTTTTCGTCGAGAATATGTATTACATGTTTTTGGCATTTTAAGTCCTTCTAGGATTTTCATGCTGATATCATTTCAAATGAACAAATAAACTATGATCACATTCATTAAATGCATGCATATGAATGTTTTCCATATATTTTGTCGGGCTAATGAGACAACAAAATATAATTGCATCCATTATAGGAGAATATGTTTTCTCATAGTCAATGTCGGTTCTTTGCAAACACTCTTATGTTAAAAAAATTTTTTTGTATCTTACAATCTCATCTTTCTTATTTCGTTTTCACATAAATATATATTTGTATCCCACTAGCTTAATATCTTCGGGTGTTTTAGCTATGGGTTTAAAAAAACTACTCTTTTATAAGAAAATATAATTTTGTATGGATTGCTCTTTTCATTTACACCAATCATCTTTATGTCGATATTCTTCAATAAATTTTAGCTCGGGATCCATATTTTCATTCAAAATATCAATTGTAATATTATATGCAAAAATCTTATTGATAAATATTTCTTTTCGGTCCTATTTTCTCCCTATATTAACATAATTTATCAAAATCTCTTGATTTTTCTCAAGCATTTGGACTTCTTCTAGAAGCCTATTATCGAAATATCTTGAATCATTTTATGAATATTTACATCCTTTATATTTTCATCTTTCCCTTTTCTTTTAGAGATTTTTATCTTTAGAATCGATCTCGTCTTCCATGCTTCGAGTTTGCTTTAGATTCATTAGTTATATCATTAATAGACTCGTCCCTCTAGGACATCAATTCTAATAGAAGTATTCTCAAAGAGGAAATGCATTTTAGTTACTCTTTTAGGATATGAAATGCATGTAGCGATTGGTTTGTAATACCCCGTAAACAAATTATCTTCCGAACCTCTAGTTCATATTGTTTTGTATCAAATTGATATAAAGATAGAGTACTACATGTAATCTTTTTTTTCAACATTTTCAATCGCTTATTTTGCTTATTCTCTACCCATAATGTTGAAAGAACCATTTTATCAAAATAATAGTCAATAAATCGAGCTATAAAAATACCTTTTGTTCATGAATCGAGAGATTGAATTATCGAAGAGGATTCAAATTTAACATATATTTCCAATCTTCTTTAAGTGCCCATTTTATTTTGTTATGAAGGAGCACTACGGATATGCATTGCAATATCAAAAATTCTTAAATAAGAAATATTTGGCTCATGACCATAAATCAATTGAAGATGAGAAAATTTCGATAACTTATGGGTTTGATGCGAATAAGTGTTACTGCTTGTAGGATTGCATGTCCCCAAACATAAATATGGAGTTTTATTTTTAAATAATGATTTAGCTATCAATTGGAGCGTTTTGATAAATGATTTTTGTTCAACCTTTCGAGTATGAACATAAGTAACATGCTATTCAACCTTTATTCTAATAACCAATCAATAATAATTTAATGCTTGAGAAATAAATTCACCGAGCATTATCAAGGTGACTTATTTTAATAGCATAATCTGAAAATTATGCTTGAAATAAAATTTGCTAGCAATCTCAAAAACGTCGGGTTTCGAGTAGATAATAAGCATATATATGACTATCTTATGAATGCATTTATTAAAATTGTAAAATATTTAAATGGTCCACATAGTGGATGAATTGATCCACGTATATTACCTTAAATACATTCTAAAAATACCGAAGATTCAATCTCAATTTTACTTGGTGATGGCTTAATTATCAATTTGTCTTAACAACTTGCAGAACATGAGGATTCATTAAATTAAAGAATCTTCTAGCTCTTCAATAGATGTCCATGTGAATTTTTAATAATTTTTCGAATCATGAAAGACCCAAGATAACACAACTGGTCATGTCATATAATAAAAATATTTGAATTAGTAAACTTCGATTTACTATAGTATTTGTTTCAATCATTCTAATATTTGTAATAAAGACTATAAGAGAAAACGGATAAATTTTTCAATACATATTTTCTACCTGGTATAATGATTATAATATATAAGTATTAACACTTGTTATCTTGATATGATATCAATTTAGATGAATATCTTTGAAACTCAATAAATTTCTATGAGACTTTGAAGAGAATAGTACATCATTTATAATAAAATTTATCTTTTTAGATAATAACATATTTGCTCTTCCGGAGCATTTAAATTAATCACTTCAATTAAATATATTAACTTTTTTAAAGCCTTTAAAAGTTACCTCTTCAAGTAATAATATATTCACTCTTCTAGAGCTTCAAAAATTTATCTCGTCAAGTAATAATATAATCGTTTTTCTAGAGCCTTCAAAATTTATCTCTTTAGATAATAATATAATTGCTTTTCTATAGCTTTTTATTAGATTGATATTATCATATATAATATTAACATAAAATAATCAAATAAATCAATACAAAATAAATAAATAAATTTTTCACGACCATAAATAAATAAAATAAATTTATCACTATCTCTATGCAATTATAAGAAAATATAAATCTTATTTATAAATAAAAAAGCTAACAACTTATTAATTTTAGTTACCTCCATTTTGATAAATAAAATTAGCCTCTATATTTTTTTATTTTTTTCAACGAGGTTTGACAAAGGCTTAATGAGGTGCTTTAGTGTACGGCAGGTATATCACCAATGTCCATTCATATCATATTTATAACATTCA